ATATATATATTATAATTATCAAAGTACTGGAACAACTGACAAAACTAAACAAGAGAAAACTAAATCTTTGTCACTTCATCAGTTAAGTAAAAGGTCTGGAGCTCATTAAGTGGGAATTTGTATTTGGAACCTGTTGCTGGGAGCAAACAACAGATCCATGCAGAGTTGTTTGTTTCCTGTTGTGTAATCACATCTGGAAGTGAGATGCAGATGCACCTAGGCAGTCTTCTTTTTGTGGAATATGTTCATTAGCTATATGTTATGCAAACTTCTAAAACCACACATTAAAGAAATGGTTTAGCCACATTGTAGTTTTCCTGTAAAAGTTATAAATATATCTGTGGCTGATAGTTCCTTGAACAGCCTCACTTTTAAGAATAAACATAATGGTTTGAACCACCTGGATGGTGTTTACATGTGGCTTCTTCTTTGCTTGATAGAGCTTTAACTTTCATTTGGTGGCATCGTGAGCTGTTTACAGACAGTATTCTGTGGAAGTATTCTAGTACTGATGTGACAGAATCAGACCTGTTTTTAATGCAGTGCCACTTGAGGGCCTGAAGATGATGGGTTCATGAATATTGCAAATCATTGTATTGTTTTTAATTTAGGCTACATTTTACACAATCTGTTTAGGTAAAAGACAATGATGTCTTTAACTGGTAATGACAACGTTTTAAGCAATTACGCAATGGTGAGCACAATTACACTAATCCATTAACAGCAGAACTAGCTTCTCATTTAGCGAACTGTTAGTGGACCAATCAGCTTCAGCTATTAAGTTCCACTAATTTTCAGTCCACTAAAATATTTCACAAGTGAAAACCTATTTTTATGCCATTTATCACAAATTAGAACGTTTTTTAAATCTATTTAGCGGTTTAGCATTAGGGGAGCCAAGAGTCTTGTTGAGCAGATTACTGGTAAAGCTAAATTTTTGGTTATCTGTTCCCACCAGTGCAAAAATGTTTCACAATGATTTACCTGTGCAGATCTATGAGACAAAAATTAAGAGATATACAATTTTATAGGAGTGAAGAGATGCTCAGCTACAGCCACACCAAATTTGAGCTCAGTGTGTGTAAAATTAACTGAGTTATGGCTCTTTCCCCCCCAAAAAGTTAATCAACTGTAGAGGTACTGATGATTTCCTCTATTAAAATCTGTCCAGTGGTTTAACAAATATCTTCATCTTTTATGATGGATAATTTGTCAGTCCCTGTTAAATCTATTTCTAACATGCAAATAAAACCCTGCAATTAAAAGTCTAACTTTAGAAGGATTACCATTGATTCACAACATACTGCAATTTACTGAAATACCAAATAAAAACAGACTTAAAACGGTATCAAAACTAATAAGATAACTCACAAGACAATGCATTTCAAATCAGTCATTTTAATAAAAGTCAGAAATGCGGCTGCATCTCATAAAAAATACTTAAAATTAACCAAAAAGCAAACATGTGATTAAAAATAAAGGCTGATCTCAGTGACATTAAACAAACTGTAGTGCATAGCTCGTGTACATGTAATCTGCAGACATCTACAAAGCACAAAGATGACTCTTTGGTCAAAACTCATTTGGTCTGTGGAAAGAAAGGTGTGGTGCCCCTGAAACATTTTTTCTTTGAGGTTTTATTGAGGATTGAGGCAAGAAACAGACATTCACAAAAATGTTCAGGATTTAGCACAGACAGTATGGGTTCATTAATTTAAGACAAAAGCAAACAAAAACGGAAATAATTGTGACGGAGTCATAAAAACCGGGACTTTAGAGGACGTCTTAGAGCTCGTGTGACACATTCAGTGTGCAGACCTCTGAGTCTTTGGATCTGGTATGAGTTGTGACTGTTAGGTTTCCTTCTCCATAAACAGTGGACTTCTGCTTAATCTCCAGTGACGGCTGCTCCCCTTCAGCTGTGACAGACCCCCCACTATTGTTTAAGTAGAACTGAAGCTGCTTCTTTGATACAAGACACGGCCTTCTGGATGTCTTCATCCTTCTGTTTGATGGTGACCACCAATCTGATACTGAAGACAAAAGGACAGTGTGAATTAAAACAACTAATATACTCTCTCATTCTTCATCAGTGGCTTATCTGCTTTATATCAAATATTCCTTCAACAGAATGAAACCAGGCCATTTTCTAAAACCCACTTTAAGTTGATGTTCTTTTATTGTACAGTATATAAAATTAGTTGAAGTTGATCAAAGTATTTCAAAGTTAAGCCAAATTAATTAATAAAATAAAGTGGAAAAACAAAAATATGTAAAAACATTCAAACATATGTATAAAAAAATATGAGCATAAAAACTATAGGTTGACATACTAGTCAGTTACAAGCAGATCTTCAGACATTTCATGGTTGGCTTCAAGATAATCTTTTGTCAGTTAATGTTAAAAAAACTGCATGTATTTTTCCTCACCCAGGAGACATTTCAATATAACAAATCAACTCACTTTTTTAAACAAACCCCTTGATTT